GAACTTGATATTTATAAGAGGTGACATTCATGGGTGAAACCTCAGGTTGGGTAGGTTGCATCTGTGTAGGCGGCTGATTCATCAATGGTTGGTGCTTATCCGAAGGATCCATGATTGTTGGAGGTGTGTAGTTGGGCGGAAGGCCATATGGGGGCCATTGGACCTCTGGAGGATCAACTTGTTGATCGGATTTGTTAAGATGTAGAGTTAATGGTTGTGTTGTGGCTAGGGTAAAGCCAGGTGGATACGCAGGAGAGGTTGACGATTCTCCTCTAACTACTGGAGGGGTCCCTTCTACATTTTTCACTTTTATATTTGGGTCATTTGTTCCTTCAATTGATTGATATCATTTCTCAGTTCTTCGTTGCGTTCGTCCATCTCATCCATGATCTTGGCTTGAGAACGTGTTCTATAACGATGCCGAGGAAACACTTTGTTTTTTGCTTTATTAATTTTTGAATACAAAGTGAATTTTATGAGTATAAAAGAAAAGGAAGAAGAAACAAATTTTGGAAAAGATTGATTTTGTATTCAATTTGAAGAGCAATTCCCCATATCTCAACACTATAGGCAAAACCTCTTAGGTCATACGACGGTTGACACTTATTTCAAGGGAGCATTCACTCCTCAATGGATAAGGTCATCTTACTAACAATGCAGCAGTTCGAACCACATTTTCAAACAAGGATCAATCATCTCAAGATCGAAATGTGATTAACAATCACTCAAGGGAAAATTCTCTCCTCAATAAATGATGTCTAAAACAAGTTATAAGTCAAATGTGCTATTATTTTGGCAGATCTTACCTTCCCTTTGGAGATCATTTTTTAGCACATTTATCCTGATACTCTTGCTTAACCCTGATGCATTGCTAGTATGATTTTGAATCTCCTCCATATTGAATACTATCAATTATTTTAAGGTTTAAAAGAAAAAAAGAATGAGGTGAAGACTTAATTAAATTTAAAAAATTGAGACACAGACTTAATTAAAATGTGACTTACTATGCCCCTAATATGCATGTATGCATGACTTTTTTTTTATCATTTATCCTTTATTGAAAAAAAAATTATTTTAGGCAAGAAGAGCAACCTAAAAAATGATATTGAATATAAATGTATGATGCATGAATGTATTAACATGTTTTTTTTTTGTTAGTATGAATATATATAAGAAGAGGGATAGAGAATAGTACAATGTGACCTATTACGGTAAACCTAGGGTAGGAAATTTCTAAGGTTAACACCCTACTTTGGAAGGTCATTAAGTCCACCTATTAGTGCATAGTTTTGTGGGTGGATCTAAAAACTCCTCAAGATTTATTGGTCCCCAGGTTGCCCTTATCATATAAATAAGGACCTAGCGCATGAATCAATCACAAGTAGGGAACATACCGTCTCAATATGATTAAATCATACTATTAGTAACAACCTGAGCAATGACTCAACAACGGTCAAGTGAGCATGAAGCCCCTCAATAATAGTCATCAAGCCACCTTCTCTTCTTAGGTTCGCACAGGCTCGGGTATAGAGCCCAAAGTGTGTGAGGTACAAGTGTTAGTGGATGTGTGGGGTAATAAACAGTCATGCAAATAAAATAAATAAAACTCTAATTTAAACTTAAATCTAAACAAAACATGCATAGCGCAAAAAAATAATAATAATAAAATAATAAATAAATAAATAAACAAAACAAAAATAAAAGGAAAAAAATTAATATTTATAAAATCATAATTTTGCGCAATTAATTTAATAAGGCCTCACTCTCAAATGTCTCCAGTGGAGTCGCCATCTGTCGTAACCGGGATCACGACGGGATGACGCTAACATTTCTTTTTCAATGGAGCCGCCACCAATATTTTATTTCAAGGGAAAAATATTGGAAAACCCTTTAAAAGATAATTTTTAAAATTAAAGTTGGGTTCGGGAGTCGATTACGTGTAGAGAAGGTATTAGCACCCTACAACGCCTGTAAAAACAATACCTTTAATTAATTGCGCAAAATTATATAAATTTATAATTTATTTTATTCCTCAAAAATGTGTATACATAT